AAAAAAATAAAAAATAAAAAATTATAATTAAATTTTTAATCCGTTCTTATCGAATTAACTAAATCAATTCAAGTTTTTTTTTTTTTAATATAATCCAACTTCAACTCCAAATTGAATCAAGTTTTAAAACATTGAAATATTTAAAATCTCAATTTCATTAAATTTATAATAAAATTCTTTATCAAAAAAATTAAATCATATGTTTAAATATTTTCTTTTTAAAAATTAATTAGACTTGGTGTGTGTTTATATCATGATAAAAAAAATATTTTTTATTTAAAAATATATTAAAATAATATTTTATTTTTAAAAAATATTTTAATATTAATATATAAAAATAATCCTATATATATATATATATAAAGCTAAAAACAATTAAAAAAACACAGTTTTACCACAATGCAATCACCACCTTAGTGTTCTCTAAACATAAACAATTAAAGCTAACTCGTGGGGTCAAGTGCGGACAAGGACATAGATTCTTTGAAATTAGAGTGTGATTGTCGTTGTCTTGATGATATTCCTTAATAATTTTTAAGGGACCCCAAAGCCAGATTTTGCGTTGGCCCCCATCGCAAGTAATCTTGTGGGAATTATTTATTGCTCATATTACTTTATTCATGTTGGAGCATCCTTGATGATATTCCTTAATAATTTTTAAGGGACCCCAAAGCCAGATTTTGCGTTGGCCCCCATCGCAAGTAATCTTGTGGGAATTATTTATTGCTCATATTTACTATCATCACTTTATTCATGTTGGAGCATTTTCAAAATAAAAATTTTCAAGTCTAAAAATAAAGTGTGAAATTAAAGATTTGGTAAGTGTTGTCGTACTAATACAATATTGAAGATTTAGAAAGAAGAAGTGAATTGAAAATTAAGGTAAGGTCAAGTTCATGACTTTGGAAAATTAAGGTAAGGTCAAATCGCAAGAGAAGACCTTTAGCGGAGACATGACTTTGGAAGGGAGCGTATTTCATAATTTTGCACTTGATTATTTTTATTGTAATCTTTTTTTTTTAATTGTTAATTTTTTCTAGAATTTGTATTTAAGGGGTTTTAATAACATTTGATATGGAAAATAATTAATGAATAAAAATTGATCGAGTTTGTGAACTTTCATTTAACTTTGCTATGCTTTTTTCTTTGACAGGTTTTTAGTATGAATAAGTTCTGTATCTTTTTTACTACGTACAAGCCTGGTAAATTGTTATCAAAATGCTTTTAATCTTTAAAAATCATAATTTGTAAAATCTCAAATTTGAGCTAAAACAAAAAACTTAATCCCCAATTAATTTGATTTTAAAAAATAGAATTAGAAGAAAAAAAACAATAAAAAAAATGAGAGCCAAACATGAAAAAAAAAAAAGAATGAGGATGAAATCACAAGAAGCACATAAAATTTATGAGTCATCCCAAACAAAATCAAAAATCAAAATAATAACAACTAAATAAGAAGGATAAAATTAAAAAAATCTTTTTAATTTAAAATGATTTTTTTAAATAAAACAAATAAAAAAAAAAAACAGAAGAAAAAAACCAAATCAAAAGAAAAAAGATGTTTAACAGTTAATGTGAATTTTTTTCATGAACAATACACAAACCGAGACTGATA